GCGGTCGGGTGGGGGGGCGGTGTCGGGCCGCGGGCCGACCCAGGCCTGGGAGCAGGACCAGGACAACTACCCCATCACGCCGCCGGAGGGGCAGTTCCCCATGCAGAACGGCGGGCACATCAAGTTCGAGGTGCCCAAGGTGCCAGTCATCTTCGTGCTCGGTGAGTCCAGGGGTGGAGTGGTCTGCACTCGTAAAACGTAAAACACATACCAGTCGCTGCGGATGGGCGAGTTTGAACGAGACGGAAAGCTGAAACACACTTACGGCTCCATTCGATACTCGTAATACGAGAGTTTGTCCCGAGAAGCGCGAAGCACTCAAAGTGATGTGTGTTGCGCCACCAATCGCGCCACTCTGAGAAGAGTGTTTTCGACCGGGCAAGTGTGGCCTAAAATTTGATCCCGCACTATGGACGACGGTCTAAAACTTTAGGCCATGGCCACAACCGCTCGATCGTAAACACCATCCGGTTTCAACCGGGTATGCGTTATTTCCTGAATATCTTTCTCTGTATGCAGGAGATAGTGTATGGTCATGTAAGCCAGGAGAGACCGAATACCTTAGAATGGTTCATACGTAAAGAGTGTCCCATTCAAGGCAGGACTTTCCCGCCACTAGTTTGAATCGATAGCCTTGCTGCCGTAGCTAGGCTGACAGTGCAGCTGGCTCATCTCCCCTGCTCTGGAGAACCCTACCCTAAAGGCTGAAGTGTACCTGTTAGGGAAATGCTTAGGTGTGGAGCGGACGGGTTGCATACTATTGAGCGACGGTAGGCAAGCCCACCCGCACGCGTGAATCCGGTACAGTATAAGCATTTTAAAAAAGACGGCGCGGATCACCCACCCTGTATATCTCATTACATACACGAAGATTTACTACACGACCACTTCAGGGAATTCTCTAGTCGTGAGGTGGTTTTACAAGTTGTACACACTACTAGGATCTCCAGAGGGTGCACCACTTTTCCTTTCGCGCCAGATGATTGACCTTGCTGAACCTGAACACCCTCAACGCACGCCAATGCCAAGTGAACGAATGGTATAGGGGGACCCACCCGGCCCCGCGCCGCCTGTGCCTGTGTTGTCCGAGCGCGGGGGCGGGCGTACACCCCAAGGGTAAACATTTGGGACCGAATGAGCTGCGAATTAGGCGACCCGGGGGAGGGAGAGGGGGTAATTGACCCGATGGTGAAGGGGAGGGGGGGAGCTGCATGACACACGCGGTATGTGATGTACGGGGAAATACGTGCCTCATAGTGAGTGGGGTTTGGGGTCGATGCTGCGGCGCGGCTTGTTGTTGTGGTGGGTGCGTATTGAGTGCCAACGACCCTCTAGAGTACTGACAGGGTAAGGGAAAAGGGGGGGGGGGAGGGCTAAAGCAAGGGTTCGGGTTCGGTGGGGTTGGCAGATGGCAGTGAATTTAAAATAATCAGAATAATTTTAGAATTTATTTTTCAACTTTTCGATATCACTGGCGATGAATGAAAAGGGATATGAAAAGCCCGTGGACTTACGCCCTTTCCACTGCCCTACCCCACCGGCTGATTGATGTTGGGCCAGGCCCGCTTTGCGGCGCGACAGAGAGACGCTCACACACCCTTTCTCCTTCACTTCGCGCGCGGGCGGGCGGGCGAGAATCGATTTCCGCGTCTCACGACCCCATTGTCGATGTGTCACGTGGTGTATCACGTTGTTGTCGCGTGGTTTCGGGGCGTGACACGCGCGTCACGCAACAGCGGGCGGTAACGCCGCTTCTTCTTCTTCTTCTTCTTCTTCTTCTTCTTCTTCTTCTTCTTCTTCTTCTTCTTCTTCTTCTTCTTCTTCTTCTTCTTCTTCTTCTTCTT